TCAGTTTCTTCCCCTGAGGACTGTCCTACCACTAATTCATTAATAATACTTAACTTCTCTGTTTAGAAGGAGGTGGATTTTTTATCTTTCAAGGCTTGAGTTTTGCACCAATGTAGCTGACTTTGTTAAATTGCTACCCCTTGAAACCTTGAAAAAGTTCACCTCCTTCTAAACAGAGACGTTAAATATTATTAATTAATTCCTATTTATAATAATTCTAGCTCCAGGCATTTATGACTTCCTATGTAGATTCATTCATCTATAAGAATTGGTTACTTTCTGGAAATAATCTAGCCCAGGGGTAGGCAACCTTGGCTCTTTTATGGACTTCAACTTCGTGGACTTCAACTCCCAGAATTCCTGAGCCAGTTGAAGTCCATGAATCATAAAAGAGCCAAGGTTGCCTACCCCTGATCTAGCCAATATTCTGATGGTAGATATTACATATATATTTGAGATAACATCATAAATTTTAAGTATGAGAATTTTCATAGATTTATATAATCTGTTTCTTTGCTATGAGTTGATATATGGAGATAAGATCTATTAAAAATGTGAATAAAGGTGTAAATCTATTTACCAGGAATTAATTTTGGTTATTGTTCCATTAATATGCACATTTTTTTTGCTCTCTCTTTTTTGGAGAATCTGATTTTTGGCAGGTAATATAAACAGTCCTATATAGTTCTATTAATTTACTCATGCTTACATGCTGCAGTAAATAAATGCATAAGCATATGTACTGTATATTTATCATGTTCACACATTGGAGGAGAAAAGTCATCAAGACTGATTTCAGCTGGAGGTAGCAAACTTAGTTTAATGAACTATAAAGCTACAAAGTATAAGAACTAGATATTGGACAGGATTCTTTTTCTTTGTCTTCTCTTCCCATTGGTATGGATCTTCTTAAAATTAAGTTCATGTTTATTTCAGGCAATACAGTGATTTTTAAAAGGACAAGTCAAGTTCTGAAGAAAATTAAACAAAACTTTGTATGTTCTCATTGGCAAAATATGCACTGAACAGCTAATAAGAAACTATCCCAGGAATATCAATCTGGGATTTTACGATTCTTCTGAATTAACTCACCTCATTTCTTGAAATTTTCTTACAGTCCAAAATAAAATAATTGTTGATAGTAAGTTCGGTCTGAAGGCTTGCAGATATATTGATTATGCATCCTTACACTTGTAGCAGAGATAAGATGAGACACTTAAATTATGAATATATTGTAAGAAAATATACACTATAGACACATTGAAAAGAGTTTGTGCTAGTGACATAATCATAGACAGAGCCAGTTTGGTGTAGAGGTTAAGGCAACCCAATGCAAACCAGAAAACTAAGATACAGTCCCACCTTATGCACCAAAGCAATTAGGTGACCTTATCTCAGTGTCTCTCAGCATTAGGAAGGAGACAAGGACAAATCACTTCTGAAAAACCTTGCCCAGAAAAACTGCAGGGACTAACTAACTAAATATGGATGGTTCCCATCACTTTTTAATCTCCCAAGATCAGATAGTTGCATGGATTGACTAATCACTAGTTCTTGGTTGCTACGCTATGGCTTAGTTATAGACATACTATACAATACACGAGTTCATTTGTTGATAAAGGAGAATATGCAAGAAAACAACCAAAAGAGCATCAAGAACCCCACTCACCCCCCAGGTTCATTTATGCTAAATAGGATAGATTAAAAGGTCTGAATGACATGGAGACAAGAACCCATAGGGAGCGGAGTTAGGGTGCTGCTGCCTTATAGCAATGGAAGAATTTTTCTATCTTCAGGAAGCCAGCCAAACACCCTAAAAAGAAATTATAGGAAGCTACCTTCTTCTGAATCACACTATGCTTAGTTCTGCCAATGATGCTAGGATGGGGAGGACAGCAAAAATGTTGGTAGAGGAGCAGTAACGCTGCAACACTGCAGAAAAGTTGCTATTTGATTGACTGATGATGTGCCATCAAGTCATTTTTGACTCCTAGTGTGACTCCTGCCAACCATGTAATACAGATGACAAGGACCTCTATTTCAGTTTTACTGACTGAATGTTAGCAGCTCTCTGCTGTTTTAGATAAATTATTCCAGACCCATCTTCAAATGTGAAGTATCAAGGGTTAGACCTTTTCCATGCATAATATTCTACCACATTAGTTCTTCCCACATCATTATGATTGAGGAATAAGCTGGTTTCAGGACTTACAATTGCAGCTCCTCTTCCTTTGTGTGAGCTATTTATTGATATATACTCTGCACAAGTTCAGAAGAAAAAACTATTTATCATACCACAGGATTTAACTGCTAAAAAACAAGGTCAACTTCACATTCCTTTTTTTTTCACTGATATGAATAGCAGACATTTCAAACTCCTCCTGACCATCCATCAGCCTTTAATCTTTACTCCTTTCTCTTATTAAGTGTATTAGCATCACTCCTTTATTTTTGGATGTAGATGAATGGGGAAAGGTTGAAAGTATTTCTCATTAAGGCCAATTCCCCTGTTGGGCAGCATTAAGCTTAAGAGGCTAAAAACAGTTACTGTATTGCCAGTGAATGCTGGCTAAGTGCCAGCTCAGTCCAAGGACAGGATATTTAGAAACTGGGCTTTCCAGAAAGATAAAACATTGGTTCCCAATCCATCCCCCTCAGGATGAAATTAGAATTTGCAGTTCCAAAGAATATTATTTTGTATATATGCAAAATATCCATATTTTTTTAAGAGCCTTGTTTCTGTAAACAGGTGCATGAAGAAAGTGGAGCATAAATAGCAATATGTGTCTGCTCTGGATCAAAAATAGTTAAGATGTGTTGTAATGTGTGATAGGACAATAGTAGCAGAACCCCAGACACAACAAAACCCCAGTGATTTGGCACAGTAGAATAGCTCCTTAATGGTTACTTTGGTGATAAAACTGTCGCTGCCCTCCAAACTAGACCAGGATTAGAAATGGGGGAGTGAGGGGAGGAGGGAACCAGGGACATACAGATACTTGGAGTTTTCTGCAAGTTGGATAATTGGTTGTGTTGGAAACACTGTTGTAATAAACAGGGACGTGTTTGTGACATACTGCGGTTGAAGTCAATAGTTTTAGAACAAATGAAAGCAGGGAGAAACTGGAAGGAATGTTAACATTAACACAAGAAGAGCAACAAGCAACCAGTGAGTGAGAGGCATGCGTGAATAAGATGCAGTTCTAATAATAAACTAATTAATCTCTGCAGAGAATCCCATGGGAAAGGAATTCACAGCCAGACAAGCACGGAAATAGGAACTGGACCAGAACAGGGTTTGTGCTAGAGCAGGGATCCCCAACCCCCAGTCTGTGGACCAGTACCAAGCCACGACATGCCAGCAACTAGTCCACACAAACAACATCCACGAGATGCAGGCAGCACACAAAACCATGCATCCTCTGGTCCATGGAAAAACCTCTCTCCACAGAACCGGTCCCTGGTGCCCCAAAGGTTGGGGACCTCTGTGCTAGAGAGTGTTGCTTTCATCTGCGAAGGAATGAACTACAGCCCGCAGGACATTGCATCCGTGAATTGCCTAGAACTGATTGAATGAGAAATGGGTATCTACTTCCCATGATACAGAACTCTTAGAAGCCTTAGAATATAATTAGTGACATGACATGAGCCTCCTGGAAGAATAGTCGAAGCCAGATTTCATTAACTGATCATACTCAGGGGAAGGAACATCAGACTGTCCTTTTAGGTGCAAGGAAGGATAGGACCTCACTTTCAGTATGGAGGGCAGAAGTCTGCTGAGCCCCTGAAGGTGCAGATTCCTGAAGAGGTTTCAGTAACTAGCTGGCAGTTGAAGAAGTGCTTGCAATGAAGACTTCAGGAGTAACTGTTCTTAAATGGACAGCCTTGCTTATAACTAGTTCTATGAATAGATAAGTGTCAAAAGTTAACAGCTTTGTATGAATGGGCTCTACAACTTGAAAATGAATGAATGAATGAATGAATGAATGAATGAATGAATGAATGAATGCAGTTCAAGGCAGTCCAAGCTGGGATAATGTCAGAGACCAGATGTGTTCCTGCTTGATTTTTAAAAAAATATTACTTTTTTAGTGTTGCATTTTAGAACTCTGAATCCTGGTTACCAGAGTGCTCATGGACTAAAATTTGGCCTTTGAGTGCCTAATCCTAGGATAATTGAATGACTTTGCTTTGTTGGATTTGTAAGCATCTATGTTATCCTGAAAGAAGGATATTGTGCTGTATATCCCTCTGTTTTTTAAAAACCTCCCTGATACTTTATGTAAGTAAATTTGTACATGATGTATTTGCTTAAAATATAAACTTAGAATGAAATTATGTTTTTATATGTTACAGTGGGGTTTATAGAAATGGATTCATATTCTGTATAGAATTTGCAAATGAACACTCCAAACAGGATTTCAGAAACAGAAGCTTTGGATATAGTTGAGTGAGAGAATGGAATTATATCAGCAGGAATTCGTTTAAAAACTGTGTTACAATTTCAGAACAAAGAATTAATAATATCAGTTATCAAATACAATGAGCAAATGTCATGCCTTTATTTCCCACTGGCAGCATGAACTAAACCTAGGAAACTAGAATGGATTATAAAGTTTCACTGTTCCAAAGCAGATTAATAAACCATATATCAAAGCCCCATAATGATGAGTCAGAGATTTGTGGCATGGATTTGTGCAGTCTCCAACATATTTGCAAAGGACACCACTTTAGGGAAGCTTTTTTGTGTTATTTTCTTGATAGTTTTAGAGAAATCAACAAAAGTCTAACATTTTGATTAAAGTCTTATTAAAGTATCTTCCAGGGCAGAAGCTGACATACAATGTTACAGAATGTGGGTGACCAGGAATTGGGGGCTTGTTGTTATTTTATATTTGCTTGCTGATAATATAGCTAGATAATATACCATTTCATGCCAAATTTATCAATATCTGAGAACCACCAAACTTTACACCTCCATTTTTCCTCCTTTTTTCCAGCTTGTAACTGCAACCTACATGCCAGAAGGTGTCGTTTTAACATGGAACTCTACAAATTATCTGGTCGCAAGAGTGGGGGTGTTTGCCTTAATTGCCGACACAACACAGCTGGTCGTCACTGCCACTATTGCAAAGAAGGCTACTATCGGGATATGACCAAACCCATCACGCACAGGAAAGCATGCAAAGGTATGTATATCATAAGACCAATGCCCAACAGAAAGAAACAGCAGGATTACTGCTATCTTTAATCATCTGTGAAAATGACAAAGGTTTTTCTTCTTGCAGCTACCTTTCAGTTCCTAATGGTCAATTATACGGGCATCAATGGCAATTTTCCCCTTTCTGTGTTTACAACAATATTATCTTCCATTCTACCTGCCTTATTTTTATGCAGTAGTTGAATATTTGCAAGCTCCAGTTGGGAACATGGAAGTGGAACAAAAGTGGAACCTTAAGGTCCCCTCTCACTTTCCCCAAGCCTTTTTTCTTGGGGTGGGGAAGAAAGTTGTTTGCTGCCTCATTTCATTTATTGAACTATAGCAGTGGTTCTCAACCTATGGGTCGCGACCCCATTTGGGGTCGATCGACCATTTCACGGGGGTCGCCAAGCAAGGCTGTCCGCCATTTTTTTTCCCTTTTCCGGCGGGTGCCTTACCTCCCTTGGGCTGGGCCAGCTGGTGGTCGGCCTGCTCCGTCTCTGCCGCTTGCCAGCTACGCCTCGGCCGGCGCAGGGGGTGGACCCACGCATCCGCGGTGCTCCCGGGCAGGGAAAGTCCTCGACTTACGACCGGTTGGGTAGTCCTCGACTTATGACCAGCTTAGTCCTCGACTTATGACCGGTTTAGTCCTCGACTTGCGACCGGTTTAGTCCTCGACTTAGACCGGTTGGGGGTCGCGGCATTAAAAAGGTTGAGAACCACTGAACTATAGGATAATTGGAAAGGCCAGGAGACTGGTTTTTCTCTTCCACAGGAAGTAGGTGATGTACAAACTTGTGCAATCCTCTCTAAATATTTATGGAGATTCTCTGTCATCCTGGTCATAGTTGTCCCAAAGCTGCTTTTTCATGAGGCAACTGGACTTCCTTGTTTTTCCTTGAAGACATTTTGCTTCTTATCCAACTTCAGCTCAGAGCTGAAGAAGCTTCTTGAATGAGAAGAAAAATGTCTACAAAGAAAAACAAGAAAGTCCAGTTGCCTCATGAAAAAGCAGCTATCGGTCAATCCTCTCTAGACCTTCAATTTTCCTCTTTTTTTCAACTGGTCACTTCTAAGTGAGTTGGGGGCAAGTTAAATAAATAAATCAGTGTTTGGAAGATACAAAATTTAGCAACATGAGAGAACTAGCTGTGAAAAGGGTGGCTAGAGAAAAGGAGATCTGGGCAGTTTAATCCTGGAAGTGCCACTTGTCTGGCCCATGACCTGTGTCCAAGCAACTATAAAGCTTTCAGAACTTTTTTTTTTTAAAAAAAAGATCAGAAGTCTGTTTTGTTCAACTTGTCCCAGCTTATCAGCCTTCTTTCCTCTTCTTTCCCCCTTCAAACACACAAGCACAAACACACATATATAAATGCTGAATGGCTTGGAGCAGCTATTCAGAACATGTGTGACTTGTCAAGTAAAAACAAAGACATAGAAAAAGGGACTTCAGACCTGAAAGAAGAAAGACAAAGGTGTGAATGGATTGTTGAGGTTATTCAGATCAGCAAATGGGCCTCTTACATCAAAAACAGGAGTTTGCCTTCCCTCCCCTTTTCACAGGTGTGCATACCAGCAAATAGTTGGGTTCATTCACTGGGCTTAGTAATTGAGAGGACAAAGAGTATTCTGCCAGTATACACAGAAATTCTACATACACACGGAGAAATATTAAATCATTAATATAAAACTTTGTTCTATGGGGAAAAAACACAATTTAAACCATTCAGTGTAGATTATGGAGAAACACTTACAAAAAAAAGCATTTAAAATCATCACTTAAAATTTGATGTAAGAATCTAATATTTCAGTGCCATTGTAACGTCACTAAACACTCACTAAATGAAGGAATGTAAGTTGAGGACTGCCAGTACCACAGATTCACTTCATATTTGGTGAAAGAAAAACACTGTAGACTTTCAAAATTATTGCATCAATACCCCCAAAAAAGTATTTCACTGCCCATTCTCCAAATGTCTTATTATCATCATGCTTAATAACTACACATTAAGTATCCAATGAGAATTTCTTAGAAGAATAGATTATCAGAAATAGCACTTATTGTAGGCAAGAAAATGACTACTCTGAGTGGATCTGAGTATATTTCATTGCGTCATAACAACCACACCATCACAAAAAAATGTGTTTACTGATTATGAAATAATAAACACCTGCATATGCCCGAAATTGCATTTAAATCTTGCACTAGGCAGAAGGGTCGATAGATCAGGATTTCTAAACTTTGTGCTATCACACCTCCTTTTAGTATAATTTTAATATACATACCTCCCTTAACAACTCACACACCAAAATGAACACAAATGAATACTAAACACAGTGCAATGAAACATTGAGAAAGCTGGATTTATTGAAACTGTACATGAAATGGTTCTTTACACCTTCAATCCTGGACTGGATAGTCTTCACTGTCCTTTCCCAACCCTAAAATCTATGAAATCAGAATCCTGTCAGTCAGGCTGTTAAAGTGGCAAACCTTGCATGGTCTCAGTCTATATATCTGCTTTCATTGGCTCTCCATTGTGGTCTTGGGGAAAGCTCTTTAAGCCTGAATGCATTGCTACCTCTGTTTAAAAGCATATTGTTTTCTATCTTAACTGCAAATTAATACAAGGGTGAAAGGGGAGAAGGAGCAGAGGCCTGGCAGAAAGCATGTTGGTGAGGTAAAATGATTTGCAAGTGGTGACTGTGAACCAGCAAACAGCAAGCAAGACATCCATGGTCCATTCAAACCTTTTTGGAGATCTCTCTGCCCTAGAGGTTTGAGTAGATGCTGCCTTCCAGCCTAAAATATGACAGTTGGAATTATGAAGTCTAAAAGTGAAGTTGAGAGTGTCAGACAATTGGCAAGCTGAATTTGGAAATCCCTGGCATAATTGCAGTCTTGTATTGTGATCCTATTTATGCTGATTTGGGCAGGGCCCTGCATTTCGGCCTAGAGTGTGTCCGTGGGAGGCAGCTTTATTGTGAGCCCCTTTCATTCATCTGGCAGAAAGGAAACATGCCCAGCTAATGTGGGCCACTCAGAACTGCCTGAACCTTTTGAATCAACTGGGATTTTCAGCTGCATAAGGCTGGGGGTGGGGAGACCGAAACAGCCACAGGGCTGAATGTGGGCACTGAGGGGGGAAGGGAAAGAAAAGGCTGCTTGACATCATGGCTTGGCAGCTTTGAGTCCTCAAGAGCAGGCGGTTGAGAGAGACCAAAGGAATTCAAGCCTGCGGATGGAGGAAAACCACTTTGACACAACAGGCTGGATATTTTTCATGCTGCTCAGCCTCCCTGAAGGGGATAAAATGCTCCTTGGTAAACTGTTGGCAGAGCAGGGACGCACTGAGCAGATATGTTTGGTAATAAGGCTGACACTTAATTTAAGGCTGAGTCCCAGACCAAGGAACAAAAGTTGCCCCCAACAAAAGAAAGCTGGTCGCTTTCCTAATAAAAATGAGGGAGCAAAGTAAGATGCAAAGAAAGAGAGAGGGAGAGGAGGTAATGTTTCTTTTCTTTTCTTTTTTAATGCAACAATCTGTGAGAATGTCTCCCTCCCCCCCCCCATTTTAGATAATGTGGCCTTGCCAGGTTGAAAATGCAGAATTCATTGTATAGTAGAATGTCAGCAACAAATAAATAAATAACCTGCTATTCTAAGGGAATTCTTGTGTATATCTGCCAAAAGCAACTACATGGATTAATAGTTATTTGAATGTGATTCTACAATCTTCCCATCTTGCAGGGATTTATTAATATTATTAGAGTTACATTTGAATACTTTTTCAGCAAGGGAGTGTAGATTAGGTTTGGTTTGCATTTATTAAACTGGAAATCAGCTTAGGTTCAGAAAGCCTTTTTCTGCTCCAAAGAGCTTGAATAGTGATGTGTTCATTGTTGGCCATGGGTCTTGTTGATCAGCTAGCTGCAAAGGACAGTGGATAGCTTCACAAGTCACACTTTTTGTGTGTAAAAGCCACACCCCACACTGTCCTTAGATAGAGCATAGTAATAATACTTTCCTGCAAGCTAAGACTTCCTGGATTTAATATTCAACACTACCCAAGAGGGGAAATAAACTTTCAGTTAAGAAGAAATCAGCACAGATATTTCAAGGAAGGAAACCAGCAGTTCACTTCCTTATTTTTCCAACTAGTGGATTAAAGTTCTAAAAAGCTGTGTGAAAATTCCACTTACAGTGGAACTGAAAATTTTCTGAACCCTTTTGAATGTTCAATATTTTTAAATTATCTTAAGGCAATGCAGCTTTGGATATTTTTCCTCAATTATTAAATGATCAAATACATTTGTGTATTTGGGGTCTCTTTATTTAATTTTAGGGCTTATAGGGAGATCATGTTTAGATCATATTTATGCAGAAATATTGAACATTCATAAGGATTCACAAACATTTCAACCCCACTGTATACACTGAATTTATTATCCGATGTGGAGGTAAGTGTATTAAGAACATCATATTTCTTTTAGTGTGAAGGAAGACTTGAAAATATGGGCAATGGAGTTTCTGTATTTTTATTTCCTGGAACTGAAGATAGCAATAGCAATAGCACTTAGACTTATATACTGCTTCACAGTGCTTTACAGCCTTCTCTAAGTGGTTTACAGAGTCAGCATCTTGCCCCCAAAATCTGGGTCCTCATTTTACCAACCTTGGAAGGATGGAAGGCTGAGTTAACCTTGAGCTGGTGAGAATCGAACTGCCGAACTGCAGGCAGCCAGCGGCCAGCAGAAATAGCCTGCAGTACTGCATTCTAGCCACTGTGCCACCTGTGTTTCTCTCTCTCTCTCTCTCTCTCTCTCTCTCTCTCTCTCTCTCTCTCTCTCTCTCTCTCTGTGTGTGTGTGTGTGTGTGTGTGTGTGTGTGTGTGTGTGTGAGAGAGAGAGAGAGAGAGAGAGAGAGAGAGAGAGAGAGAGAGAGAGAGAAATAATCCAGAACTGTTTAACAAGCTCCATGCTGAAGTT